ATGGAAGGATTGCTGTCTACGTGCTGTTTCCCTGGCGGAGTCTCGAGAGGAAAGACCTGTAGATAAGTGGGAAAAAAGAGAACATCACACAAGGCCATGAATGGAGTCTCGAGAGGAAAGACCTGTAGATAAGTGGACAAAGAGAACATCTCACAAGGCCATGAATGGAGTCTCAAGAGGAAAGACCTGTAGATAAGTGGACAATGAGAACATCTCACAAGGCCATGAATGGAGTCTCAAGAGGAAAGACCTGTAGATGAGTGGACAAAGAGTCATCTTGTCTCTCAACCATGGTGGTACGTAATGACTGAGTCATCTTATGTCTCTCAGCCATGGTCCCACGAAATGACTGAGTCATCTTATGTCTCTCAGCCATGGTGGTACATAATAACTGAGTCATCTTATGTCTCTCAGCCATGGTGGTATGTAATGAATGAGTTATCTTATGTCTCTCAACCATGGTGGTACATAATGAATGAGTCATCTTATGTCTCTCAGCCATGGTGGTACGTAGTGACGGAGTCACCTGGTACATGTCAAGCAGACCAGTGAACACAGCCATGGTGTGGGTCAAGCAGTCCAGTGAACACCCTTTACCCAGGTGCAACAAAGAAAGCATTCAACCTGAGGCATTCCCATGCATGCTCTATCCTCATCTTCAGCAGCCAGCGCAGAGTTCCAATACTGATAGCACCGGTCACAATCTGGTTAAAAGTCCGTCTTGCCTATCCTCTGAGTGTCTTGTTCCTTACCTACGAATTAGAAATGCACTGTCCACAGAAGAGGCAAATGTGGCAGCATCCAACTTACAACAAGTAATAACATCACATGGGTGTTCTGGTAGCCAGGTCCTGACTTAGATACTGGCTACTTTGACATGACAAACAGGTGAGACACATGCACAGCCACACACACACAACATAAACTAGCAAGACACATGCACAGCCACACACACACACAGCATAAACTAGCAAGACACATGCACAGCCACACACACACACAGCATAAACTAGCAAGACACATGCATAGCCACACACACAACACAAACTAGCAAGACACAAGCACAGCCACACACAACATAAACTAGCAAGACACATGCATAGCCACACACACAACATAAACTAGCAAGACAAGCACAGCCACACACACACAGCATAAACTAGCAAGACACAAGCACAGCCACACACACACAACATAAACTAGCAAAACATGCACAGCCACACACACACAAAACTAGCCAGACACAAGCACAGCCACACACACACACAACATAAACTAGCAAGACACATGCACAGCCACACACACAACATAACTAGAAAGACACAAGCACAGCCATACACACACAACATAAACTAGCAAGACACATGCACAGCCACACGCACAACATAAACTAGCAAGACATGCACAGCCACACACACAGCATAAACTAGCAAGACAAGCACAGCTACACACACAGCATAAACTAGCAAGACAAGCACAGCCACACACACACAACATAAACTAGCAAGACACAAGCACAGCCACACACACACAACATAAACTAGCAAGACAAGCACAGCCACACACACACACAACATAAACTAGCAAGACACAAGCACAGCCACACACACACACAACATAAACTAGCAAGACACAAGCACAGCCACACACACACAACATTAACTAGCAAGACACATGCACAGCCACACACACAATATAACTAGCAAGACACAAGCACAGCCATACACACATAAACTAGCAAGACACATGCACAGCCACACACACAATATAACTAGCAAGACACAAGCACAGCCATACACACATAAACTAGCAAGACACAAGCACAGCCATACACACATAAACTAGCAAGACACAAGCACAGCCACACACACATAACATAAACTAGCAAGACACATGCACAGCCACACACACACAACAAACTAGCAAGACATGCACAGCCACACACAACATAAACTAGCAAGACATGCACAGCCACACACACAACATAAACTAGCAAGACATGCACAGCCACACACACACAGCATAAACTAGCAAGACACATGCACAGCCACACACACACAACATAAACTAGCAAGACACGTGCACAGCCACACACACACACAACATAAACTAACAAGACACAAGCATGACCACACACACACACAAATGAAACAGATTTCAGGCATTCAATAATTTATATTTACAAAACAGACAGTGATTAAACAAGATGTGCAGCAATGTTGTGAGGGCAACCAGACAGAAACCAAACAGTTCAAATCCCAACAATGCCAATAAAAACATATCAATATCTTCTCATCAAACTGTTTCTTCTATTTAAAGTTCCAAGATTTTAAAAAAAAAAAAAAGGTGTCAGCTGTGCACAGGTTTAATACAAGATCATGAAAATCGTGTTTCAATGATAAAAGATATCAGAGACATACCTTAGTAATAATCTCATCTCACCCAGCTGATGAAAGACCGTCCAAGATTGACATCAATGGAGTCTGTAAGTGTATGGAGAACAGTTGCCTCATTGGTGTCTGTGTGTTTATTGTAAGTCTGGGCAGAACAGTTGCACAAGTGTTGATGCCACAGTATAATAGTTGAGTTCAACAGGTCTTATTAAAAAAAAGTGGAAACAGCAAGAACAAGCATACACAGGAACAGCATGGACAAGTACACAGTATGTAGAAACAGACCAGGAAACTATCAAGGAAATAAAGCTAACGACACTGACAAACAGTCATCTGTAATAAACAAAACCTCTGCAAGTTTACATGCCCACGGTACTTCTAGAACCAGCTTGACAACTATCCTGATAGACACAGCTCCCATAACTTGCAGTGCTGGTACAGTATGTATGTGACAGCAGCTGTCCCAACTTGCAGTGTTGGTACAGTGTGTATGTGACAGCAGCTGTCCTAACTTGCAGTGCTGGTACAGTGTGTATGTGACAGCAGCTCTCCTAACTGGTAGTGTTGGTACAGTGTGTATGTGGCAGCAGCTGTCCTAACTTGCAGTGCTGGTACAGTGTGTATGTGACAGCAGCTGTCCTAACTTGCAGTGTTGGTACAGTGTGTATGTGACAGCAGCTGTCCTAACTTGCAGTGTTGGTACAGTGTGTATGTGACAGCAGCTGTCCTAACTTGCAGTGCTGGTACAGTGTGTATGTGACAACAGCTGCCCTAACTTGCAGTGCTGGTACAGTGTGTATGTGACAGCAGCTGTCTTAACTTGCAATTCTCGTACTGTGTGTGTGTGTGTGTGATAGGAGCTAACCCAACTTGCAGTGCTGGTAGCACACATTCTGTGTATGGGTTCCTGTGTGAAAGCATACACACTGTGTGCGCGTAACCTTATGAAAACTGTGTGCATGAGTGTGTTTATATACATGTATATATATATACTAAATGAGAAAAGAAAACACGAGTGCTCATTTACACTAAGTTAGTAAAGGAAAAACTGCATTGCAAGCTTGATGAGAATGCTAGTTACTGTTTACTTGCAGATATACTTCACACATTGGCTCAGGTGCAAAACACAATGCATCCAGCTGCAAAGTGAAAGGGCAACAGAAGCAGAGTGCTGAGCTACAAAGAAGATTCAATGTTTGACAGTGCTGAGAAACAATGTTTCACTGTCTGATGTATTCACTAGGGCAGCAACTACCGGCCAGGATAAGAGACACAATGTTTCACTGTCTGATGTAATCACTAGGGCAGCAACTACCGGCCAGGACAATAGACTGACACAATGTTTCTGATGCATTCACTTGGGCAGGCAGCAACTGCAAACCATCACAGTGAGCACTTGATCTGCGCCGCTCTGTAACCCATGGCTCCAGCTTCTGTCAGAGTGCCAGCACCACACAGTCGAGGGCTGTTTTCTCTACAGCATGGTCAGCGAACTTACTGGCCGGGCAGGGCCCTCTTCTGGCCTGACAGGTTCTACTTCATGCAGCTTTAGTCAGAAATGGGAGATGTGAATATCATGCGATAAACACAAAGAATAACTGGCATGTCTGACAAAGACACTAAGCACCTCACTGAAACAAAACCCTGGCCCCACTACAACCAGCTAACCAGACCTACCAACTGTAATTCTCGCATTTGACCTAACACACAAGACAACTTACATAAATATACCAAGGTCATATGTTAAACAAACTTCATACAAATTATGAAAAAATGCACAAAACAAAAATCAAAGCACAGAACTGTAAAACCAGTTTCCACCCTTGTTTTTTTTTTTTTAAACCATCAATGAAACATGAAAGAAGTCAGAGGGTTATCTTCATACAATTCAATTGTACATGTTACAAGTGCAATGACTGCTGGCTTGGTCTTTTCAAGTTTAGCACATAACACCACATACCCACGGTAGAAGAGCTATGTAGTTGGTTAACTGGAGCCTTTTCTTTGCATGATACAACCACAGAAATGAAAAGAGGGACAGAAAGAAACCAAGTGTGTACAGACAATCACTAGCAATACATATGTCAGGATATATAGGTTTGATCTGTTAGTCCACAAGCTGGCAACAAAACAAGGTCACCAATCACAAGCTTTCATGTTCTAGAGATGCTGAATATGCTGGGTTGCCTTGCCTTCAATGATGAGACCACATCAAGAAAGCATTAATGATGAACTATTCTCACTGGTCAACTATAATGAGGCAACAGATTGATGGAGGGAGCTGAGCTGTTGGGACAATCACTGCTGGCTGACCAAAAACGTGATGTGTGACAAAGAAAGAAACAATCTTAACACGACTGGTTACCAACCAAATTAGTTAAACATGTGACACATCTGTGACAATTGGATACGTAGAAATACAAAAGAGCTCAACAAAGCAAATGTTCTGTTCTACAACATTATCTTATAAAAGGGGTTCTGTTTCTCTGCAAACAGTTTCTGGCCTGTGTTGTCAGCATGACCGTCGACGACTCATCTTGTACTCAAAGCCTAGTGTCAGTTACTCGTGGGGAAGTAGAGGAGATGACGGCTGTCCTGTCTTGCATGTCAGAGGATAAATTTGCCAATGATGAGGCCAAGCAGAATGGCAGCAATAAGGTACACCACTGGGGGAAAGGTTCGAACACTGGCAGTCGATGTTGGTGCAGGGATTGAAGATGGGGTGGAGGAGACGGTTTCTGTCATGGCCACCTTGCGCAGACGTACTCCCTCATCCTGTACAATATAAACAGAGAGACAATATAAGACATTAAACACAACAACAACAACTTCTGTGATGTGACATCAAGTGCTTAGTGTCTGTCACCTTACTCAATGGCTGGCTATAGCTACACTCTCCCACTTCAAGGTCCCAGACACAAGACAGAGACAGGAAACAAACAATGGGACAGCACAAGGTCCCAGACACAATACAGAGACAGAAAACATTCAACAATGGGACAGCACAAGGTCCCAGACACAATGCAGAGACAGGAAACATTCAACAATGGGACAGCACAAGGTCCCAGACACAAGACAGAGACAGGAAACAAACAATGGGACAGCACAAGGTCCCAGACACAATACAGAGACAGAAAACATTCAACAATGGGACAGCACAAGGTCCCAGACACAATGCAGAGACAGGAAACATTCAACAATGGGACAGCACAAGGTCCCAGACACAAGACAGAGACAGGAAACAAACAATGGGACAGCACAAGGTCCCAGACACAAGACAGAGACAGGAAGCATTCAACATTGGGACAGCACAAGGTCCCAGACACAATACAGAGACAGGAAACATTCAACAATGGGACAGCACAAGGTCCCAGACACAAGACAGAGACAGGAAACATTCAACAATGGGACAGCACAAGGTCCCAGACACAATGCAGAGACAGGAAACAAACAATGGGACAGCACAAGGTCCTAGACACAATACAGAGACAGGAAACATTCAACAATGGGACAGCGCAAGGTCCCAGACACAAGACAGAGACAGGAAACATTCAACAATGGGACAGCACAAGGTCCCAGACACAAGACAGAGACAGAAAACATTCAACAATGGGACAGCACAAGGTCCCAGACACAATACAGAGACAGGAAACATTCAACAATGGGACAGCACAAGGTCCCAGACACAATGCAGAGACAGGAAACATTCAACAATGGGACAGCACAAGGTCCCAGACACAAGACAGAGACAGGAAACATTCAACAATGGGACAGCACAAGGTCCCAGACACAATACAGAGACAGGAAACATTCAACAATGGGACAGCACAAGGTTCCAGACACAAGACAGAGACAGGAAACATTCAACAATGGGACAGCACAAGGTCCCAGACACAATACAGAGACAGGAAACATTCAACAATGGGACAGCACAAGGTTCCAGACACAAGACAGAGACAGGAAACATTCAACAATGGGACAGCACAAGGTCCCAGACACAATGCAGAGACAGGAAACATTCAACAATGGGACAGCACAAGGTCCCAGACACAAGACAGAGACAGGAAACATTCAACAATGGGACAGCACAAGGTCCCAGACACAATACAGAGACAGGAAACATTCAACAATGGGACAGCACAAGGTCCCAGACACAAGACAGAGACAGGAAACATTCAACAATGGGACAACACAAGGTCCCAGACACAATGCAGAGACAGGAAACATTCAACAATGGGACAGCACAAGGTTCCAGACACAAGACAGAGACAGGAAACATTCAACAATGGGACAGCACAAGGTCCCAGACACAAGACAGAGACAGGAAACATTCAACAATGGGACAGCACAAGGTCCCAGACACAATACAGAGACAGGAAACATTCAACAATGGGACAGCACAAGGTCCCAGACACAAGACAGAGACAGGAAACATTCAACAATGGGACAACACAAGGTCCCAGACACAATGCAGAGAAAGAAAACATTCAACAATTGGACAGCACAAGGTCCCAGACACAATACAGAGACAGGAAACATTCAACAATGGGACAGCACAAGGTCCCAGACACAATACAGAGACAGAAAACATTCAACAATGGGACAGCACAAGGTCCCAGACACAAGACAGAGAACATTCAACAATGGGACAGCACAAAGTCCCAGACACAAGACAGAGAACATTCAACAATGGGACAGCACAAGGTTCCAGACACAAGACAGAGACAGGAAACATTCAACAATGGGACAGCACAAGGTTCCAGACACAAGACAGAGACAGGAAACATTCAACAATGGGACAGCACAAGGTCCCAGACACAAGACAGAGACAGGAAACATTCAACAATGGGACAACACAAGGTCCCAGACACAATGCAGAGAAAGAAAACATTCAACAATTGGACAGCACAAGGTCCCAGACACAATACAGAGACAGGAAACATTCAACAATGGGACAGCACAAGGTCCCAGACACAATACAGAGACAGAAAACATTCAACAATGGGACAGCACAAGGTCCCAGACACAAGACAGAGAACATTCAACAATGGGACAGCACAAAGTCCCAGACACAAGACAGAGAACATTCAACAATGGGACAGCACAAGGTTCCAGACACAAGACAGAGACAGGAAACATTCAACAATGGGACAGCACAAGGTTCCAGACACAAGACAGAGACAGGAAACATTCAACAATGGGACAGCACAAGGTCCCAGACACAATGCAGAGACAGAAAACATTCAACAATGGGACAGCACAAGGTCCCAGACACAATGCAGAGACAGGAAACATTTAACAATGGGACAGCACAAGGTCCCAGACACAATACAGAGACAGGAAACATTCAACAATGGGACAGCACAAGGTCCCAGACACAATGCAGAGACAGAAAACATTCAACAATGGGACAGCACAAGGTCCCAGACACAATGCAGAGACAGGAAACAAACAATGGGACAGCACAAGGTCCCAGACACAATACAGAGGCAGGAAGCATTCAACAATGGGACAGCACAAGATCACAGACACAATTCAGAGACTGGAAACATTCAACAATGGGACAGCACAAGGTCCCAGACAGGAAACATTCAACAATGGGACAGCACAAGATCACAGACACAATTCAGAGACTGGAAACATTCAACAATGGGACAGCACAAGGTCCCAGACACAATACAGAGACAGGAAACATCAGTGACAGGAAAGCACACATACTTGAGAAGAAGAAGACAAGAAACATCAATGTTAGGACAACAAGAGAGTCAGGAAGTACAATAACAAATGATCATAACTGTCTAGGCTGAGAACAGAGCCAGACTGACCTTCAATTGACTGTTCTCAGTTTTCAAGAAAGAGATCTCTGCCTGGGCCCTCTTCAGCTCCTGCTGTAACTTCCTCAAGTCTTCTGATGCTGGTACACTTGGTTTCTGCTTGGAGACATTAGGGAGAGCAACAGAACAAATCATTTCATGTCCTTTCCATTATGTCAGTCATAACATATAATCATCCTCATGTGCCCTGTCAAATGTGCAGGCGTTCATGTCTTCCCACAGACACATGGTCTATGGCAGTAGTAGTTCTGTTTTGCCCTGTCTACAGCAGATATTTCCTGTCATTCCAAGGTTTCTCAAAGTCTCTGCATGCACTACATGAATGTGCCGTGCCTCTTACACTAGTGCATGTTCTACTTTGATCAGCCCTTCCAGGCAATCTTAGCCGCTTACTATGGATGGAGCTCATGGAGATGACAAGCTGCAGAAAATCTGCTGGGGAAATGATGCTTGCACTAGTCACAATAGACACAAAATACAGTGGAACCTCGCTTAACAAGCATAATTCATTCCAGAATCATACTCGTTAAGCGATACACTCGTTATGCGAAACAATTTTTCTCATTTAAATTAATGTAAAATACGACAATGCGTTCCATGTAAAAAAAAAAAAAAAAACTCCTAAATGCTTTGTATAACGTTTATTCAAACAAAATGATATACATATTGTTAAGGAGAGTGAATCATCTTCACCTTTTCTTCAAGCGCAGAACAAACTCACCTGGAATGCGAATTCGATTTGGAGAAAAAAAAATCTTAATAATTATGATACATAGCGAATTATTTTGTTTACTAGAAAGATGTCCACAGTCATCTGTTTTTGCCTACGCTTCACAATTTTGCGAAAATGCGACACAGCATTATCATTAAATAAACTTGCAACGCGCATAGCTACTTCCTTATTAGGGTGATGCTTCTCAATGTAAGATGCAACAGTTTGCCATGCTTTCAGCATTTCTCCTTTTTCGCCAGAAGATTGTTGCTTTTCTGTTACCTCCTCCTCCTCCTCCTCTGACAAACTTTCCTTCCAAACTTCTTGCTGTGAAACAATGCAACTCCATAAGCTCTTGGGTGGTCAGCTCTTGGCTGTGCTCTTCCACAAGCTCTTCGATATCACTGTTATCCACCTACAACCCCATGATAGTGGCCAAAGACACAATCTCGTTGACTACAGGTTCCGCAGGTACTGTCTCGAACCCCTCAAAGTCACAAATCGACAACGCTCTCCGGCCAAAGCTTCTTCCAAGCAGAAGTTAGGGTTCTCTTGGTAACCCCTTCCCCCGCCTTGTCGATCATCTTGAGGCAGGCAACGATGTGGAAGTGATTTTTCCAAAACTCTTTGAGAGTGAGGTTGGTCCCTTTAGTCACCTGAAAACAATGCTCGAAGAGTGCTTTAGTATAGAGCTTCTTAAAGTTAGAAATAACTTGCTGGTCCATTGGCTGGAGTAACGGAGTGGTGTCGGGAGGCAGAAGCGGGATCTTGAGGAACTTAAATTCTTCAGGGAGGTTATCTTGTAGGCCTGGAGGATTCATCTACATATATTACAATATAACACAAGTTTGAGTAAATGTGTGATCACAAGCGACACTACGATACAACTGGAACGAGTGCTGAACACAGATTGATCTAACATGCGCACAATTTGGGACTTCCCCTCTCCTCGCCACTCGTTAAGCGAGTCATTTTTTTTGCTCGTTATATGAATTACTCGTTATGAGAGGTACTCGTTAAGTGAGGTTCTACTGTATGTTGATAGCACAGCTTAAAAAACCTGTTCTCTGGAATACACCGAGCAAAACAAAAATGCTGGTAGAAGAGAACTAGAAGAATAATACAGGGAGGACATGGAGCCAGCTGCAGAAAACAGCAAGGTTTTATGTGTTTGATTTTGATATGGCCTTATTTATCCATTAGGAGATAACAGGAAGAGGCAGACCCAGCTGTCTCTATGTCCTCAAGCACAGGACAATCAAGGCAGTGTATCTGTGCAAGTCTGGCTCAACTTGGGTAGGGTGTACACAGTCAGCAGTACACACAAAACTGTCATGGTTACTGGAAAGATGCCTCTACTGTGGATTTTGTTGCTGTCAGTTCTTTCATACCTGGATTACCTAGGTTTTGATCAGAGGATGTTGATCCATCACAAAAGACAACAGAAGATTCTGGCCAGTGGCAGACAGGTTTAGCCACACACAACAAGGAAGCCATCAACTAGTCTCACATGATACAACAATACTCTAATAGTTACCTTAGGGGACTCCACCTTTCTTGTGGAGTCATCAAAAGTGCTATCCGCCTGAAACACACAAGCCAACAAACCACAATCAGATGGAATACAGCAAACATTGACTACACAGGACACTTTACCTACTAGACACACTGACTACACAGCACACTTTACCTACTAGACACACTGACTACACAGGACACTTTACCTACTAGACACACTGACTACACAGGACACTTTACCTACTAGACACACTGACTACACAGCACACTTTACCTACTAGACACACTGACTACACAGGACATTTTACCTACTAGACACACTGACTACACAGGATACTTTACCTACTAGACACACTGACCACACAGGACACTTTACCTACTAGACACACTGACTACACAGCACATTTTACCTACTAGACACACTGACTACACAGGACACTTTACCTACTAGACACACTGACCACACAGGACACTTTACCTACTAGACACACTGACTACACAGCACACTTTACCTACTAGACACACTGACCACACAGGACACTTTACCTACTAGACACACTGACTACACAGCACACTTTACCTACTAGACACACTGACTACACAGCACACTTTACCTACTAGACACACTGACTACACAGGACATTTTACCTACTAGACACACTGACTACACAGCACACTTTACCTACTAGACACACTGACTACACAAGACATTTTACCTACGAGACACACTGACTACACAGCACACTTTACCTACTAGACACACTGACTACACAGGATACTTTAACAACTAGACACACTGACTACACAGGACACTTTACCTACTAGACACACTGACTACACAGCACACTTTACCTACTAGACACACTGACTACACAGGATACTTTACCTACTAGACACACTGACTACACAGGATACTTTACCTACTAGACACACTGACTACACAGCACACTTTACCTACTAGACACACTGACTACACAGGATACTTTACCTACTAGACACACTGACTACACAGGACACTTTACCTACTAGACACACTGACTACACAGGACACTTTACCTACTAGACACACTGACTACACAGGATACTTTAACAACTAGACACACTGACTACACAGCACACTTTACCTACTAGACACACTGACTACACAGGATACTTTACCTACTAGACACACTGACTACACAGCACACTTTACCTACTAGACACACTGACTACACAGGATACTTTAACAACTAGACACACTGACTACACAGCACACTTTACCTACTAGACACACTGACTACACAGCACACTTTACCTACTAGACACACTGACTACACAGGACACTTTACCTACTAGACACACTGACCACACAGGACACTTTACCTACTAGACACACTGACTACACAGGACACTTTACCTACTAGACACACTGACCACACAGGACACTTTACCTACTAGACACACTGACTACACAGCACACTTTACCTACTAGACACACTGACTACACAGGACATTTTACCTACTAGACACACTGACTACACAGCACACTTTACCTACTAGACACACTGACTACACAGGACACTTTACCTACTAGACACACTGACTACACAGGACATTTTACCTACTAGACACACTGACTACACAGGACACTTTACCTACTAGACACACTGACTACACAGCACACTTTACCTACTAGACACACTGACTACACAGGATACTTTAACAACTAGACACACTGACTACACAGGACACTTTACCTACTAGACACACTGACTACACAGCACACTTTACCTACTAGACACACTGACTACACAGGATACTTTACCTACTAGACACACTGACTACACAGCACACTTTACCTACTAGACACACTGACTACACAGGATACTTTACCTACTAGACACACTGACTACACAGCACACTTTACCTACTAGACACACTGACTACACAGCACACTTTACCTACTAGACACACTGACTACACAGGATACTTTAACAACTAGACACACTGACTACACAGCACACTTTACCTACTAGACACACTGACTACACAGCACACTTTACCTACTAGACACACTGACTACACAGGATACTTTACCTACTAGACACACTGACTACACAGCACACTTTACCTACTAGACACACTGACTACACAGCACACTTTACCTACTAGACACACTGACTACACAGGATACTTTAACAACTAGACACACTGACTACACAGCACACTTTACCTACTAGACACACTGACTACACAGCACACTTTACCTACTAGACACACTGACTACACAGGATACTTTACCTACTAGACACACTGACTACACAGCACACTTTACCTACTAGACACACTGACTACACAGGACATTTTACCCACCTGACACACCGACTACACAGGACACTTTACCTACTAGACACACTGACCACACAGCACACTTTACCCACCTGACACACCGACTACACAGGACACTTTACCTACTAGACACACTGACTACACAGGATACTTTACCTACTAGACACACTGACTACACAGGACACTTTACCTACTAGAAAACACTGACCACACAGGATACTTTACCTACTAGACACACTGACCACACAGGACACTTTACCTAATAGACACACTGACTACACAGGATACTTTACCTACTAGACACACTGACTACACAGGATACTTTACCTACTAGACACACCGACTACACAGGATACTTTACCTACTAGACACACTGACTACACAGGACACTTTACCTACTAGACACACCGACTACACAGGATACGTTACCTACTAGACACACCGACTACACAGGATACTTTACCTACTAGACACACTGACTACACAGGACACTTTACCTACTAGACACACCAACTACACAGGACACTTTACCTACTAGACACACTGACTACACAGGATACTTTACCTACTAGACACACCGACTACACAGGACACTTTACCTACTAGACACACTGACTACACAGGATACTTTACCTACTAGACACACTGACTACACAGGATACTTTACCTACTAGACACACTGACCACACAGGACACTTTACCTACTAGACACACCGACTACACAGGACACTTTACCTACTAGACACACTGACTACACAGGATACTTTACCTACTAGACACACTGACTACACAGGACACTTTACCTACTAGACACACTGACTACACAGGACACTTTACCTACTAGACACACTGACTACACAGGATACTTTAACAACTAGACATACTGACTACACAGGACACTTTACCTACTAGACACACTGACCACACAGGACACTTTACCTACTAGACACACTGACTACACAGGACACTTTACCTACTACACACACTGACTACAGAAAAACTTCACCTACTAGACACACTGACTACACAGGACACTTTACCTACCAGACAAATGGCCACTAAAACAATCAATACAAAATTTAAATAAGAAAATTCATTAATGAATAAACTGGTGACTACAGAAAAAAGGTAATGGGATGGTATGGCAGAATCACTAGTGTAGAGATACTCAGGGTATGGCAGAATCACTAGTGTAGAGATACTCATGGTATGGCAGAATCACTAGTGTAGAGATACTCAGGGTATGGCAGAATCACTAGTGTGGAGATACTCAGGGTATAGCAGAATCACTAGTGTAGAGATACTCAGGGTATAGCAGAATCACTGGTGTAGAGATACTCAGGGTATAGCAGAATCACTAGTGTAGAGATACTCAGGGTATGGCAGAATCACTAGTGTAGAGATACTCACGGTATGGCAGAATCACTAGTGTAGAGATACTCAGGGTATGGCAGAATCACTGGTGTAGAGATACTCAGGGTATGGCAGAATCACTGGTGTAGAGATACTCAGGGTATGGCAGAATCACTAGTGTAGAGATACTCACGGTATGGCAGAATCACTAGTGTAGAGATACTCAGGGTATGGCAGAATCACTAGTGTAGAGATACTCAGGGTATGGCAGAATCACTGGTGTAGAGATACTCAGGGTATGGCAGAATCACTAGTGTAGAGATACTCAGGGTATGGCAGAATCACTAGTGTAGAGATACTCATGGTATGGCAGAATCACTGGTGTAGAGATACTCAGGGTATGGCAGAATCACTGGTGTAGAGATACTCAGGGTATGGCAGAATCACTTGTGTAGAGATACTCAGGGTATGGCAGAATCACTAGTGTAGAGATACTCAGAACATTTGGGAGGGAACTAAATCATGAGCTGGGAAAGGATGTGTAGCAGACATTTATTACCATAGCCTTATAATTGAACTATAATGCTCTTGCAATGGAGCAAATAAATCCAGGGAGACCCACAAATACAGGCAGATGAGAACCAGAAACCTAACTTAGGTAAAGCAAATGGAGAGACATAGGGGTCATGTACAGGCTAGCACCAGGGCAAGGTGATTCCGTTATCTGAGGGAATACACACTATGGCGGGAGAAACATAACTCAAGTACAGACATGTCTGCATTAAGGCAGCGGTATAAGTGTAATCGTACGTACACAGAGTTCTGGAGCCAGCTTGATGCTTACTTTAGGAAAGTCCAGTTCTGACTCATCACTGCCAAACAGCATCAAATAAGGCAATGAATCATCATCTTCTTCCAGACAGGAGGACGACCTTTCTTTGCCATCTTGGTCAGGAATAAGCAACTCCGCCCTGTCTGTCTCCAGACCCAAGTGGTTCACTCTGTCTGGGAAAAACGCCTTCAGCTCTGTCTCCACCAGCGTCTGCATGATCATTTCAAAGAGACTATCCTGCCTTACAGATTGACAGATGTAGCTAACGTCTGGATTGAGGCTCTTCAACAGTGCTGAGGAAGTCACCCCAAGGAAGCGTTCAATCTCAGCATGGCTGCAAGAGGAGTCCCTGTACAATGGAGTGTCAGAGCTGGGTTCCCCATGGAGCACCTCAAAAGCCAGTTGTTCTGCTTGTTTGTCCAGACTGTCAATGTTAGAGTCGTCATCTTCCAAGTGAGTGTCATCGACCAGGTACCTGTCCATCAGTCTACCAAGTGGACACTTAGTGTGTGTGACATCCGTTGTTGCCAGGGCCTTGGCTTGAAGCCACATGGTAAATGAATCTTGGTAGACAACATCCACAAATGAGCTTCTAGCACTGAGCATTTCTGTTGACCTGCCAGCTTCTAACGTGTTCAACACACAGCTCCCTGAGGACTGCAACATAAAGCCTCGTATCTTCAACGTTACAGCCAATTCGTCAACCAAGGGCAGCTGTTCTGTCAAGCAACTGGTGATGTCTTGTTTCCCAGTTTTTCCTTCTCTCTGATCATCCTTGTGAAGACAGAATCTATCAGCGATCAGTTTTGTCCTCACCAATTTCAGATTGAACATTGTCTATAGCCGACTTGCTACTAAGTGAAAACCCTGAGACTGAGCAGACATCTGGGTGAACACATACTGACACTTACCTTGCAATTTTATATTTATTTTACCCCCCCCCCCCTCCCCCAAGAAATACTAGAGTTTCAAAGTAAGTCCACTTTTCTACTGGTGTAATGGGTTGCGGGTAGGGTTCTTTGAGGCGACAGGCTGACAAAGATCTTAACCATAATCGCAACCCATAACACCCCTAGAACATTGGACATTCCTGGGAACTCTAGGATTTCTTTTGTGGTAAATAAAAAATAAGGTATCCTTATATTAAACAGTACAACTGAACAAGCTGCTATAGCAGCACCAATGTTTGCTAACTTCCACAACTGCTACCACACAAACTGTGTGCTCTAGTGTTTGCAGTCCTTGGCTAAGAACTTCCTGGATGCACACTGGTGCCGTGCAGCATAACAGGAAATTCCCTATCTAGATGATCACCAGGCAGCAGGCTGATTACCCTAAGCAATCAGGTTTCCCTTATCTCAGTCTCCTACCACTTGTCTTCTTCTGCTAAGCCATCCAGCTATTTACCTCCACCCCCCTTTTCATTACACTTTTTTTTATCAGGAAGATCAAACTTAGGATATGCTACCAATGCATTTTCTCAGCAGCAATGAGAGGAACAGGAAGAAACAGAAGACTTTTAGATTGGATTATCATGCAGGGAGGGACAGGACCATCTAGGGCAACCAACTAAACATTTACCATGGGGCTTGATTTTTTTCTTTAACCACCAAAATCTGCAGCTCTTGATAAAATGGCAGCTAGCTAGTTGCCGAATTGCTGCTAGGTTTGATCAGTCCTATTACCAGGAACTTGACATGTGTACAGGCAGCCCGTTGCTGGCTCAAACAACCAGCGACCATACAGACAGCCGGTTGCTGGCTCAAACAACAAGCAACCATACAGACAGCCTGTTGCTGGCTCAAACAATCAGCAACCATACAGGCAGCCTATTGCTGGCTCAAACAACCAGCGACCATACAGGCAGCCTATTGCTGGCTTAAACAACCAGCGACCATACAGGCAGCCTGTTGCTGGCTCAAACAACCAGCGACCATACAGACAGCCTGTTGCTGGCTCAATCAAACAGTGACCATACAGGCAGCCTATTGCTGGCTTAAACAACCAGCAACCATACAGACAGCCTGTTGTTGGCTCAAACAACCAGCGACCATACAGGCAGCCCGTTGTTGGCTCAAACAACCAGCGACCATACAGGCAGCCCGTTGTTGGCTCAAAAAACCAGCAACCATACAGGCAGCCCGTTGCTGGCTCAAACAACCAGCGACCATACAGACAGCCTGTTGCTGGCTCAATCAAACAGTGACCATACAGGCAGCCTATTGCTGGCTTAAACAACCAGCAACCATACAGACAGCCTGTTGTTGGCTCAAACAACCAGCGACCATACAGGCAGCCTGTTGTTGGCTCAAACAACCAGCGACCATACAGGCAGCCCGTTGTTGGCTCAAAAAACCAGCAACCATACAGGCAGCCCGTTGCTGGCTCAAACAACCAGCAACCATACAGACAGCCCGTTGTTGGCTCAAACAACCAGCGACCATACAGACAGCCCGTTGCTGGCTCAAACAACCAGCGACCATACAGGCAGCCCGTTGTTGGCTCAAACAACCAGCAACCATACAGGCAGCCCGTTGTTGGCTCAAACAACCAGCGACCATACAGACAGCCCGTTGCTGGCTCAAACAACCAGCAACCATATAGGCAGCCTGTTGCTGGCTTAAACAACCAGCGACCATACAGACAGCCCGTTGCTGGCTTAAACAACCAGCGACTATACAGACAGCCCGTTGCTGGCTTAAACAACCAGCGACCATACAGACAGCCCGTTGCTGGCTTAAACAACCAGCGACCATACAGACAGCCCGTTGCTGGCTCAATCAAACAGCGACCATACAGGCAGCCCGTTGCTGGCTCAATCAAACAGTGACCATACAGACAGCCCGTTGCTGGCTCAAACAACAAGCAACCATACAGACAGCCCGTTGCTGGCTCAAACAACAAGCAACCATACAGACAGCCCGTTGCTGGCTTAAACAACCAGCGACCATACAGGCAGTAGCCGGAGATGTCAGGTTCCCCAAATAATGGCCTTTTATCTTGTGAAACAGCTGGCTACAGTAGCTATTGTACACTCAGATACAGATGATAGGACAGCCAGGCATCAGTAAAAAGATGAAGAGAGTCAGTCACAAGTCAAAACAAACGGATGATGTCTACATCATCCGGCTGCTGTGTCCGGTTCCATCCACTTCATTTCATGTGGTGGTTACTGTTTCATAATTCAGTCTGTAGTCAAAAAGGAATAACAAAGGTGACAACAGAGATCCCTGTTACACCTTCAGGTATCTGTCAATGTTCCCCCACAAATGCCCATTATGCCCTCAAGTCAGACACACCTGTATATGGCAGAGGAGCATGTGTCTGTCTGACCACATCACAGGACAGAGACATTAATTCAGAAACAAGAAGACAGACAGGCCATGTCTAGTTCACAGAGTAGATCTATGTTTGACCAAGACAGAACACCACGTGCAGGCTGGGAAAAGTGATACTTACATAATGTGCAGCCGACTCCAAGGTCTTGCTGGCCTCTGCTGACATCGTCTGCTGTATCCCATCTGGCATCTCAAAGACACACTTCAACTTGGTGTCCATCAGGCTCTCCGGGGGAGCATCTTTCCACTGTTGGAGACACACACATAACTCAGCTGTGAGACATTGCACACACATGGCAGGCAACTCACACATACTCAGATATATGTGACTCAAACACACATGGCAGGTGACTCATAAAAACATGTGAATCACACACACATGGCAGATGACCCAAACACCCATGGCAGATGACCCAAACATGCATAGTAGGTGACTCAGAGACATTTGTCAAGAGACCCAAACATACATGGCAAATGACCCAGACACACACTGCAGAAGACTCAAACACATATGGCAGGTGACAAACCTACAACAGTACACAAGCAGGTGACATGTTATGAGGTGTGTAGTAGTTCACTTACCAAATTGTCCTGGCTATCGACAGCATGTTCAGGTGCAAACATTGATTGCACCATGAACTTGTGTTTGTTCTTTTCATTTGGATCATAGTCAAAGGGCTGCAGCATCACTGGAGACAGACAACAAACATGTGTCAGTACAAGAGATCAACAGACTATCACTGGACAGAGACAACAGTTAAACACTGGAGACAGACAACAGACATGTGTCCGTACGAGAAAGGCAACAGACCATCACTAGAGAGCAACATACCATCAGTGGACACAGACAACAGTCAAACACTGGAGACAGACAACAGACGTGTCAGTACAAGAGAGGCAACAGACCAACACTGGACATCCCAACACTGGACAGAGACAACAGTCAAACACTGGAGACAGCACACCATCATTGGAGACAGGCAGACAGACATATCAGTGAAGACAGACAACAGTCAAACACTGGAGACAGACAGACATATCAGTGAAGACAAACACTGGAGACAGCACACCATCATTGGAGACAGACAGACATACCATCAGTTGAGACAGACAACATACCATCAGTGGAAATAGACAACAGTCCATCAGTGGAGACAGACAACAGTCCATCACTAGAGACAGACAACATACCATCAGTGGAGACAGACAACAGTCCATCCCTAGATACCATCAGTGGAGACAGACAACAGTCCATCAGTGGAGACAGACAACATACCATCAGTGGAAACAGACAACAGTCCATCAGTGGAAACAGACAACATACCATCAGTGGAGACAGACAACATACCATCAGTGGAGACAGCACACAAAAGTATTACTGAAACACTGTCACCAGAGACAGACAAGTGCAGTAGAGCAGAGGTTGCAGTGTTAGCCTCAGACTCAGTCCTGAATTGCTCTAATGTGTTGACTAATGTTAATAAAATGGGACAAAGCTGACAGTGTATCCCCTGTGACCCCCCTTAGTAGTGCTACAGAGTTTATGTGCTGAGCAGAGATTCTTCTTGTGTGACCAAACCTACCACAGCACAGATGGAGATATAAGTATGCCCTGGAAATGATATGTTATAAATAAAATTTTAAAAAATACTAAAGTGTCAGATCAAACAATGAGAACAAAAAGCACTGAAGACTTGCCTGAACACCGCTACAACATCAATCAACTCAAATTATTCATATATCTTGATTCTATACCTGATAATACCCTAAATTAGCGACAATTAAACAGGCTACCCCAACAGAGATGTCGTGCCAGAGCTGGGACAATTATTTTTGCTCCACTTCTATGATAGGGCCTCCGTCTGCTTGGCAGCTAGTCACTAAGCGACAGCTTCCCACACAGCACTAACTGCATAGCTCTAGTGATGACCTCCAACAGTTTTAAACCAAATGATGCAGAGCCAGGCAAACAGTCTAAACGTCACTTTGCAACCACCTCCCCCCCCCCACCTTTCCAACAAACACACGCAAAGTACACAGAGACACACAGACAGACAAGGTCCAGTGAAGACATACCTGCAACAGATATAGATTTGCCTGGGTCCAGGATGCCGCTGTTGGGGCGGACACAGTATCGTTTTGGTGCTGTTGTCTTCACTTTGAAGCATATTCGCTTGTCTGTGGGGTTTGTTAGCTTCAGTTCTGCTGTTACTACATCAGTGAAAGGCCCTGACAGATCACATACAAATATATCACTGAAGACTTTTGCACCTCCAGATAATTTTGGCACTCACAGAAGACTAGACTGAGAAATATTTGTCAGCTAACAAATGTCTGTTTAAGCACTGAAGATGCTCTAAAAAAAATTAAAAAGATCAGAAGAAATCCCGTGACCATGACATGAAGCAGACAGTAGTGCAATGTTGGACGAGCAATTAACATTCAACAATAGTGAACAGACTTTCCTGTCCATCTGCAGTAGCATTCACTCACCTC